GGCTTTCCCTATCTTAGTACAGCTGGTTTTATAAAGGGGTGTTGCTGACAGATTCTTTAAAGAGAGCCTTCATGTGATTTATCCAGCTGTCTTCTCTATTTAGTTTGAAAAGTCTTTGGGGAAGAGTCCCTCTGGCCGTGTGGCTGTACAGTGCCTGGCGCAGTAGGCCTTGGTTGCAGCTGACAGGTAATATCAGATAAATTATGGCCTCAAGTTGCGCCAGGGGAGGTTTAGGTTGGGTCTTAGGAAAAAATTCTTCACTGAAGGGGTTGTCAAGCATGGGAACAGGCTGCCCAGGGCAGTGGTTGAGTTGCCATCCCTGGAGGTGTTGGAAAGACTCATAGACACAGCACTCAGGGACACGTTTTAGCCGTGGGCTTGGCGGTGTTAGGTTTATGGTTGAGCTCGGTGATCTTAAAGGTTTTTTCCAACCTAAATTATTCTGTGATCTGTGGTTAACCTGGTGTGTTGGTAGAATAAAATCAGATGGAATTGGATTGCTTGAGGGGCGATCTTGCAGGAGACTGGACAGGGAGAGAAGGTGGGGTACGGAAGTTATCTGCCGCATACGTCCGACGGCCGCTCTCTCGGTCTTCAAGCACTGAACAGACTTGTGAAGCAAAAGCACCGAGAGGGAATGATTTGAATCAACATTAAATGTTGGTGCCAAAAAAAATAGGGAAAACTCACACGCCTTTAATCTGCCTTTCCTGCTCAGTCAGTCCTGCCTGCGACACCAGCAACACTGTGAACAAGAACTGGGTATACGTGGACTCATAATGCTGAAATTCCTCAGCCTGCGCAGCTCAGATCACAGCCTGTGGCTGACACTTCTTTTGAGACACCTTCCTGAGAAGGGCAGTTACTCTCAGCTCTCTTTGTCCTTGGTGGGAAGAGATGCTGCTTCCAGAGAGAAGGTCATGTCTGGAGGTGTTTCTCTTTGGTGCCAGCAGGGCCAGGCTCTGGGCGCAGGTCATAAGTCCAGGTGCCTTTAGCTGGGTTTCTTAAAATCATAGAGTCGCAGAATGTTCGGGGTTGGAAGGGACCACTAGAGCTCATCTAGTCCAACCCCCTGCCAGAGCAGGATCACCCAGGGCAGCCACACAGGAACGTGTCCAGGTGGGTTTGAAAGTCTCCAGAGAAGGAGACTCCACACCCTCTCTGGGCAGCCTGTGCCAGGGCTCCGTCACCCTCACAGGAAAGAAATTTCTCCTCATAGTGAGGTGGAACTTCCTATGTTCTAACTTAGGGATTTGAACCTGCTCCCCTTGTGCCCACAATTAGCAAAAGCTTAGACTTCAAGGAGAGCAGAGGTGTTTTGTTTTCAAAACCCTCTTTTGGAACTTGAAAACCTCATTAAAAAACGGAGCTGGTACATGCTCATAGAACTAAAAAAGACATTTTTGCCCAATTATATTTTAGCACTTGTGAGCAGGAATCACGCTCCTGTTTTAAAATCACCCTCAACTCTTAAGAGGGCCTTGGCTTTAAAAGCCGTTGATTGAAGGGTGTTTAAAGTAAACTGGAAGAACTGTGGCAGTTAAACTTGCTGGGAACTCTGGTGCAGTGACAGATAAATCTCAAGAAAATACTGTTAGAATTGTCTATAACAAATGTTATCAAGGCTCAGGTCTTTCACAGTTCCAGCTTTTGCACCTCCCAAAAGCTGAAGGCTGCATCCAGACCTGAGCTGAGACAGATCCGACAGCTCTGGGGGTAATTACCGTGGCCTGAGTGGAAAGACTGATTAGTTTCTCAGTGGTACAGGAACCTGAAAGCTGTGAGACAGCTCTTTACCAGGGTGAACCTGTGGCAGCTTTTAGAGTCACTCTCTATACATTGGTATCGTGAAAAGGCTCATCTTATTCTGGTCTACAGTTTGCACAAAGCATCTGGATTTTGTGTTTAAAGAAACAGCAGAAGGAAGTCCTAACCCATAAGCTCTGGAAACTTTTGTGATTTGTGGAAGCAAACGTAAGCCAGCCGCAACACACCTTCCTTGAATCCTTACCTTAAAAATTGGGTTTGAAAGATTTATGCAGCCCAGGACCACGAGAGAGCCCTCCTTATGCCCGTGCTTTGGACCACAACTGTGCTGAGAGCTTGTACAGTTTCTCCACACTGGGGTTAATTTCAAGTTGAGAAAGAATTTTGTTATCCCTAAAAGAAACCGAAACACTAACATCCCAATCCTCAGGTCCAGGGGTGATACAGCTTTGTGAAAAGATGAGAGCAATCTCTTGGTAAAGAAACAGATGATAAGAAAACAGCAACGATCCAATTCTATACAGGTTGTCTCCTTTTCTCTTGAAATACAATATCAAGAAAACGAAACTTCAAAAAAAAAAAAAAGAGAAAAACCCTTTTAGAAACCTTAAATATAAATCCTTTATTGTAATATAAATCTTTATCCTTTCAGTGCATGATTGTATGAGTCTTCCCTTTTCAGTGGGTTGTATTTGCCTCTCAGGCTGATTGATGTCTGTCTCCTATTTGCCCCGTGTTCTTAGCACTCTCATTGTAATTCTTCTGTCCGTCTTTCATTTTTCTGTTTAGAAAAAGCACATTCTTAAAGTGCTTTAAAAAAGATGAGATATAATCATACCGTGCACCTTTATATATATATATATATT